TGATGGGGAGTGGGCTAAGGGCACTGGGAGGTGTCTGGCCTCAGCTCCAGGGGGCTGGGAATTTGTGAGCAAAGGTAGGAGGGTGTCAATCGGGGCCAATCTCGGGGTGGAGGGGCTGCCAAGAGGTGTTCTCGGCCAGGGTCCTGCACCTCGGTGTCCCTGCACCACCCACCCACCAGAATAGCCCGGCAGCCCGGGGCTCCTCCAGCAGTGCTTGCGGCTCCCATTGGGGACTTATGCACGTCCGAGGCCCCAGGATCACAGGCAGCTGTGGCCTACCACCCCCCTACATTAATTCTAAGAGAACTGGCACATGGTGACGGAGTCTGGGATGCACCAGTAACTTCAGGGGGCCATGGCAGCAGCCCTGTTCGAACCCTGGGAGGGGGGGTGGTCAGTCACGGTGGTTGACACGCAGACAGGCTCCCAAGAGGGGCTCTTGGCCAGGGTCCCCCCCTTGGTGTCCCCGCACTGCCCAACCACCAGGGTAGCCCCGCAGCTCAGTGCTCAGCCCCCAGTGTGGGCGGCTGCCAGGGGGCTCCACCGGGACCTACAAGCAGAAGAGGGCAGGCCCCAGGATCACGCCCCAGCAATGCCCATTGCCACCTACAGTTCTCAGAGCACCGGCACAGTGATTACCTCCGGCAGTGACAGTGACGTCAGAGGGTCACAGCGGCGGTGGGGGTGGCAGGCAGGCGGTGGGCAGGCAGGCAGTGATAGGACAAATAAAATCTTTTTTAAAATTATTTAAAAAATAAAATAAATAAAAGGCAGAGATCATTGAGATGCCTGGCTGGCTCCGTCAGTGGAGTGGTCAACACGATCTTGGGGTTGTGAGTTTGAGCCCCATGTTGAGTGTAGAGATTACTTAAAAATAAAATCTTTTTTAAAATGCAGAGATTATCATACTGCATTAAAAAAAAGATACAACTATATGCTCTTTATAAAAGATACCCTCTAGTTATAAAGGCACAGAGAAATAGAAAGGAAAAAGATGAAAGAAAGATATCTTGTGAAACACAATCACCACAAGAAAGCTGGAGTGGCTACTGATATCAGACAAAGTAGACCTAAAGATAAGGAATATTACCAGATTTTTTTTAAAAAAAGATTTTATTTATTTGACAGAGACACAGCGAGAGAGAGAACACAAACGGGGGAGTGGGAGAGGGAGAAGCAGGCTCCCCGTGGAGCAGGGAGCCTGATGTGGGGCTCAATCCCAGGACCCTGGGATCATGACCTGAGCCGAAGGCAGACGCTTAATGACTGAGCCACCCAGGCGCCCCAGAATATTACCACATATTAAGAAGGACATTCAATGAGTTCTTCCTGAAGACATAATCCTAAATGTTTATATACCCAATAATATAGTTTCAAAATACATTGAATAAAAATTGACATAAAAGAAGAAATAGACAAGTCTGCAAACATTTCAAGGAGATTTGAACAATTCTCTTAGTAACTGATAAAACAGGTGGGCCAAAAATATAAGAATTCAGAGAATTAAACAGTACTGTTAATCAACTTGACCTAATTGACATGTATAGAGCACCATCCCCAACAATGGCAGGATACACATTCCTTTCAAATTAATATGGAACATACATCAAGATAGACTAATGCTTGGGATGCTTAGGTGGCTCAGTCAGTTAAGCAGCTGCCTTTGGCTCAGGTCATGATTCCAGGGTCCTGGGATCGAGCCCTGCATGGGGGGGGGGTCCTTGCTCAGCGGGGAGCCTGCTTCTCCCTCTGCCTGCCACTCCCCCACTGCTTGTGCTCTTTCTCTCTCTCTCTCTCTAACAAATAAATAAAATCTTAAAAAGAAAAAGAGAGACTAATGCTTTCCTGCTAGACAAGTTTAATAATCTCAAAATAATTGAAATCATACAGAGTCTGTTCTTAGATCACCATGGAATTAAAATAGATATCAAAAGCAAAAAATGTAACTAAAGTATCCCCAAATACTTAGAAATTAAATAACACAAATAACCACCTAGCAAAGAAGAAATCACAAGGGAAATAAAATTTTAAAATAAATTATAATAAAAATACATTTCAAAATTCATGAGATCCTGCTAAAATAGTACTTAGAGGAAACTCATATATTAGAAGAGAAAAAAATGGTTAAGAAACATAATTTAAGGATTGCTTGGGTGGCTCAGTTGGTTAAGCGTCTGACTTTTGATTTTGGCTCAGGTCATGATTTCAGGGTCATGAGATTTGGGCTCTGCACTCAGTATGGAGTCTGCTTGTCCCTCTCCCTCCCCCTCTGCCCATCCCCCTACATGCACACATGCACTTCCTCTCTCTCAAATAAATAAATAAATAAAATTTTCAAACAAAACATAATTTAAGCTAGTAACTAAAAATAACAACAACAAAGAACCCAAAGAAAGAAAAAAAAACCTAAGAGCAGAAATCAATGAAATAGAAAACAGATGAATAATGAAAACCAACAAAGCCAAAGTGGAATATTTGAAAAGATGATTAGAACTGGTAAACCCCCATCAGGCTCCCTGCTCGGCAGGGAGTCTGCTTTGCCCTCTGACCCTATCCCCTCATGTGTTCTCTCTCATTCTCTCTCTCCCAAATAAATAAATAAAATCTTTAAAAAAAAAAAAAGAAGAAGAAGAACTGGTAAACCCCTGTAAAACATGAAAGAGTGAAAGAGGAGAGATACCTATACTCTTGGCATTAAAAGGATAAGGGAGTGGTATTAACAAATTTAGCAACAAATTGCCAAAAATTTGACAACTTAGATAAAATTGACAATTCCTTGAAAAATGGAATTTTCCAAATCTGACAAAGAAAAAAAAATATGAATAGCCCTATAACTAAAAACAAAAACAAAAACCCTCTAAAACTGTAATTTAAAACTTCCTTAGAAATAAAATTTCAGACTCAAGTGGTGAATTCCACTAAATGTTTAAGGAAGAAATTATACCAGTTTTTCAGAAAATGTTTTCTAAAATAAAAGGGGAGGGAACACTTCCTAGGTCAGTTAAATAATCCTCATGCCAAAACCTGACAAGGACATTACAAGGAAAGAAAATTACAGAACAACAATGCAAGAACACAGAAGTCAAAGTCTTAAAATAGCAAATCCAATCCAGCAATACTTTAGAAAGGATAATATGTCACAATCAAATGGAGTTTATTCAAGGAATGAAAAGTTGGCTTAATATTTTAAATCAATGTAATTAGCCCAATTAAATAGTAAAGGAGAAAAAAGTATCCTCAATAGATACAGAAAATGCATTTGACAAAATAATACAGTTTATATGGACAGAAATGGACAAGCTCACTCTAAAATTTTAACTTTCAGGAAAGCAAAGGACCAAGAAAAGTTGGGGTCATTTGGAAGAAGTATAAAGTTGAAAAAGTTATGTGAAAAAAGTGGGTGTCATGAGGGTTTGCTCCTAGTAGGGCAAATTAGATTGGTAGCAGAAGACTGCAAACTTCCCCAAACAGACCTGATTTCTAATGCTATGTGTAAAAATTGAAATTTCACCATTGCCTGGACATCTTTGAGCCTCAAAGGGCCTCCAACGCCTAACTGTGGATTACCCTGCTCTTGCCAATATGCCCACTGCCCAACAGGAAAGGCTCCCAATCCAGGTAGTTTCCCTATCACCTGGCTCAGTGTTCCATCCTCACCCTCCTAGCCCATGAATTATTCACACAAGCCAATCACATTCTCTGGTGGAAAACAGGGAATACCTCACTCTCTTACTACTACAAACCTTCTTCCCAGTGCTCCTACTGGTTCGCTCTGCTCCTGAGTGCAACCACACGGGGTGTTTGTGTGGTGTGGTGTGTAGTGTCCTTCCATGCACTGGGATCATATGTGACTAATAAACTTCTGTCAGTCATCAGGCCAGTGTCAGGTGTCATGCATTTAGCTATCTTGTATTATGTAGGGTGGAGGATCCCACCCTCACCAATGGGATAAATAGGAGGTGATCTGAATAGTGTTTGCTACAAAAATTATGAATCGGAGAAGTCACAGAATTCAAAGAAACACCTCTGCCTTCTATTTTCCAGAAAAAATATCCCTTCTCTAATTTTTGCAAAATAATTCAACAATTACAAAACAGGTAGGTTCTCTGTATTTATGTATGTATCAATTTATGTATGTATCAATTTATGACTATTATGTTGCCCTAATTTACTTTTTTCTTTAGAAATCTGTTTCCAGTGTAGAATGTTGACATATATGTTGGTTATCTATACCCTCAAGTTCAGGAAATTTATTCTGTAAAGGGCTAGAGAGTATTTTAGGCTTGTTATGGACTGAGTTGTGTTCCCTCCAAATAACATTTGTAGAAGCCTGCTATGGTCTTCATCATATGTGTATGATATCAGATTTGTGTCCCTACCAAAATTCATGTTGAAATCCTGACCTCAAAAGTAATGGTACTAGGAAGGGGCAGGGGGGCTTTGAGAGCTGATTAGGTCATGAAGGTAAAGCTCTCATGAATAGGATTAGTACCCTTATAAAAGAGACCCCAGAGAGATGCCTCACCTTTCCTACCATGTGAGGGCCCAACAAAAAGATGGCCATCTATGAACTTGGAAGTAGGCTCTCACCAAACACTGAATCTGCTAACACTTTGATCTTAGACTTTTCAGCCTCCAGAACTGAGAAATAAATTTGTTTATGAGCCACCCAGCCTACAGAATATCTGTTGCAGCAACCTGAACAAATTAAAACAAATCCCTGAACCCCAGTGTGACTAAAGACAGGGCCTTTAAAGAGGTGATTATAGTCAAATGAGGTCATAAAGATGGGACCATAATCTGAAATGACTGGTGTCTTTATAAGAAGAGGAAGAGACACCAAGGATGAGTGTACAGAGGAAAGGTCATGGAAGAACACATCAAGAAGCCAAGGAGAGGAGACTCAGAAGAAACTAAACCTGCCAGCACCTTGATCTTGGACATCAGCCTCCCAAACTGTGAGACAATAAATTTTGGTTGTTTATACAAACAGATGTGACTGTGTTCCAATAAAATTTTATTTGTAACAACAGGTGCAGGCTGGATTTGTCCCATGCACCACAGTTTGCTGTCCCTTGATCTACGGTATTTAAAGCTCTGTATATATAAAGTGAGACATCAGATTTGAAGTGTGAGCCTCCTTATATAGAACATCATTTACAGATTCAAGACACATTACTCCTACACCCTTTCTAGAAATCCAGCATGATAGATAAAAAGATTTAACTTTCATGTGCAACTTTGTGGTTTTAAAGACGTTATTTATAAGGTTCCCTTCAGTATATTTCCTTTAACTTATAGTAAGAGGTCATATTACATTAAAACATTTCACACATTTTCCACCTTTTTAGTTTTATGATGAGCATATTAGTATTCTAGCATTCATGGGATGCTAGAAGTGAAATATTTTCCACAGTTATATTTATAGGAGTTCTCTCTTTTATTAATTTGTTCATGTTGAGGAATGCCTGTGTTTATGCCGAAATATTTCCCACATTAGATCCATTTGTTGGACTTCTTTCCAGTCAGAATTTCTTTGTGATTGGCACATAATAAAGGTTTCTTTCTCTTATGAATCCTTTGATGTTGAGCAAGGTATGCATTTACAGTGAAGGCCTTTCCACATTCCTCACACTGATAGGGTTTTTCTCCAGTATGCATCCTCTGGTGTTGAGTCAGATATGCACTCTGACCAAAGGTTTTCCCACACTCGTTACACTTGTAGGGTTTCTCTTCAGTATGAATTCTCTGGTGTTGATTAAGGTGTGTACTTCTGCTGAAAGATTTGTCACATTTTTTGCATTTGTAAGGTTTCTCTCCAGTATGAATTCTCTGGTGTTGAGTAAGATGTGTGTTCCATCGGAAAGCTTTCCCACATTCATTACATTCAAAGGGTTTTTCTCCAGTATGGATCCTCTTATGTTGAATAAGGGATGACCTATGACTATAGGCTTTGCCACATTCGGTACATTCATAGGGTTTCTCTCCAGTATGTGTTCTCAGATGTAAAGTAAGCTGAATGCTCTGGGTAAAGGTTTTCCCACATTCTTTACATTCAAAGGGTTTTTCTCCAGTATGAATCCTCTTGTGTTGCATTAGGGATGAGCTATGACTATAGGTTTTACCGCATTCGGTACATTCATAAGGTTTTTCTCCAGAATGAGTTCTTAGATGCAGAGTAAGCTGAATGCTCTGAATAAAGGCTTTGCCACACTGATTACATTCATAGGGTTTCTCCCCAGTATGAGTTTTCTGATGCAGAGTTAGATGTGAACTTTGGCTAAAGGCCTTCCCACACTGATTACATTCATAAGGTTTCTCGCCTGTATGAATCCTCTGATGTTGTGTGAGGCACGTGCTTTGGCTGAAGGCCTTCCCACATTCACTGCACTCATAGCGTTTTTCTCCAGTATGAGTTTTCTGATGTAGAATAAGGGATGAGTCCCAGCTGAACGACTTCCCACATACAGTACACTCAAATGGTCGCTCCCCGGTGTGACATCTTTCATGTTGTATAAGGTGTGTCCCCCTGCTAAAAGATTTGCCACAATTTCTGCATTTGAAGGGCTTTTCTCTAGCACCAAGTTTCTGATATCTAGTAAGGTATGGGTTAACTCCAGTATGAGTACTCTGGTGTTGAGTGAGATCCAAACCACAGCCAAAGTATTTCCCACATTGGTCACATTTGTATGGCTTTTCACTTGTGTAGATTCTCTGATGATTACTTAGATCTAGGTTATGTGAAAAGCTCCTGCTGTAACAGTCATCTTTACACATTGTTTTCCCTGAAGGACTTGTGCTTTGAGTAACAAAGTTTGATTGCTGTTTAAACTCAAATCCATTATCTTCATGAATGTTCTCCTGAGTCAGGATTTTCTTATGGGTAAATACCATCTGCCCTGGATGGCTCTCTAAACAGCTAAGATATTCTGGGACTTCTCTGGTGAAATAAAGGATTCCATTCCTTTTACCTTTGTTGATTATCATACCCTGGGAAAATTCTTCAGAAATTACTTGCTTCAGATTTGACTTTGCAATTCTAGATCTTGTCTCTTGGTCTGAAAGAAATAGAAAATGGAGGATATTTGACCATTTAGAGAGACAAAAAGTGTGAGCTAGTTGAAGCTACATATAATATGTTCCTATTACTTTTATTCTTTGACTCCCCAAACAGAGGTACGGTGCTTTGACTGATTTCAAATGTCATGGAAGCCAAGAGCCACTGTGCACAGGAGCAAGGAAGAAAGGGACACACAAGTGGTTATAGGGGTGCTGCTAAGTGACACAAATGAGGACTGCCTTTCTGGAATGACTGAAGGGTAAAAACAGGGACTGAGAATGGACAAGGGGGCAGTAATGATGGGAATCACTGGAATAATGACCCACAGAAGAAAAGCAAATCAGGGTATAACCCAATGTCACTGTGTGCCTGGGGCACTGTGAAATATCACCACTAATCTCTCAGCCTCCAACCTCTTCTCCCTATTTGCCCATTTTGTAAGCTGCCACAGTTAACTTCCCTGAAACACCAATTCACCAGGTCTGTAAGGATGGTCCCACACCACCCATTTTCCTGCTGCTATCAGAGGCAATGCATGGTCACTGTTGACTTGAGTAGGGGGGTCAGAGTTAGCAAGTGGGCATAAAGGACTTATGCGGAATCCAATACAGTTGAGGGGGTGTGAGAAGACAAGAAACAGAGGAGTTGAGTGAGGTGGAGAGTGATTACGGAAAGTCCTGCTGAGGCTGAATGCAGCAGGAAGCAGAAATCCACGCTGTGGATGCTGGCAGGGAGTGGACGTGGTTACTGGACCACTCCTAGTAGACTTACCTAACATTCAAGGTAGATTCAGAGGGAAGGAATGGTGATCAAACAGATGACAGGAAAGAGAAGGAGGTGAAAGTGGCATCCTTGCCCACTGAGGGGCTTCTCTAGAGAGGGCAGAATGCCTGGCAGCACGGGGGGAGGGGCACACTGGAGAGGAGGGAAGAAGAAAGCCAGCACAGTACTGGGGGGGTGGGGAGCGGCCCATGTGGGCAGTATATTCCCTGCAGGACCAGGACTCAGGCAGGGGAGGAACAGGAGTTTCTGTGCAGGGATTATTTTCGAGGCAGTCCTGATTTCCCCTGGGATTTCTCCTATGGCCTGTGCTTCTAGAAACTACTGGCTTCCTAGACAGCCTTGTGCATGAGCTCCCAGGCCTCCTTCCCATCCCTTCACCTGGAGAGGGGTCCCTAGGGATGTCCCTCCATGCCATCCATGCTGATCCACCTTGCTCCAGCCAGGAGATCACATCAGGCTTGAAATCCTGGCACCCTGCTCAGAAAAGACAAGAGGTGCAAATGTTGGGACAGTGACAAGCATGTGCCCAGGGCCTTGCCCCTATTTCCCTGACTCCAGGACCTTTGCAGCATGAATGATGGGTGACCCTGGGGTGGGAGTGGGAGCAGCCTCAGCCTCCTGCTCCCTACCACGCAGAGGACAAGCAGTGGAAACACCCTGAGTCTGTGTCCTCTGAACATCAAAATATGGCCCCATGGGTCAGAGACCTCAGGGCCTTGGGACTCACGGTTTGGATAGAGAAGAGAAAGCAGACTCCTCATTCACCAACTCATATTGGCAGGGTAGGTACACACAGGCCTTCAAGGACTGTTAGTGGACTGTGCCTCTCAGAGTCTAAAACCCCTTCCCAGTCTCTGTTGCATCTTTTAAAATCATGCATGTTTTCATTATAATCTATTACATCTGTGTTTATTTAACATAAAAATAATCACTTGCCAAGTTAAATTACTTAACATCCCCCCTCTTCCCATCAGCTAAGCAGAACCTGAGCAGATGGCACCTGTGTCCCCTGCCCCTCCCAGGGTGCTGCCATGGTGGGCCCAGGGGGACTCTTACCCAGGGAGGCCAGGCTCCTGTAGTTCTCCAGCATGACCTCTCGGTACAGTGCCCTCTGAGCAGTACCCAGGTGCTCCCACTCTTCCTGGGTGAACTCTACAGCCACGTCCTGGAATGTCACTGGGTCCTGAGACATTACCAGAGGCAGCATCCCGGCAGGCAGGGGAAGGTATATACAAAGAAACTGGCTTATATTGTGCTGAACACAAGACATTAGTGCATCTGGTTCAAGCAAGAACAAGACACCAACACTGAACCTGCTACTCTGATACTCTCCTGGAAGTTTTAGTCTGTGCAGCAAGAAATTCCAGAAGAGTAATGACAGCTACAGACAGTTATGAGACTCCCTGGGATGATGTCAAGGGCAAAGAAGCAAATTGTCATTGAATCCAGAATCCAAGGAATATGCATTTATTCAGGGTAACAGACTGAATTGTGCTCCTTCCCCACCCGTCATATGTTGAAGCCCCAACCCACAATGTGACTATATTTGTAGACATGGCCTTTAAAGAGACAGTTCAGGTTAAATGAGGCCATAAGGGTGGGGCCCTAATCTGACGGGTCCTTGTAAGAAGAGGAAGAGACACCAGGAGTGCATGTACATAGAGGAAAAGCCACGTGAGGACACAGAGAGAACGTGGCCCTCTACAAGCCAGGAGGAGACCTTTCACCTGATGGCACCTTTATCTTGGACCTCCTGCCTCTAGAACTGTGAGGAAATGAATTTCTGTTGTTTCAGCCATGCAGTTGGTGGTATTTTGTTAAGGCAGCCCTGGCAGATGAACAGAGATCAAACATGTGCATTTGAACAGTCTATTGTTTAGGGGTGTATGTGGTAAGACCATAAAGAAGAGCAAGAAGAAGATTCCTACAAATTCCAGGGTAGAGACTGTATTTGAAGGAGGAGGGAGAGGGATGTTGTTTTTAGGATGAAGAGACGGATAAAAAGGAAGTATATCTATTAAGTTATATGGAACACAACAAAAGAGTTACCGGAAGCAAGGCTGGTCAGGGCAGCACAAACAACAGGGAACTAGGTGCTGTGATGTGCAGACCAATGCTGAGGGACAGCTTCTTGGTGGCTCTGCATCTCAACGGTGTGTGTCTTCCTTATTCTTCCACCCACATAAAGCACACTCTCCTGGCCCTTCCTGCTCAGACCCCTTGGTCCTTCCCATCTTTCTCCTCCTTAAATGACTGGGGTCCACAGTCCTCTGCACCAACTGCCCCCCCTTGAGGTCTCCCTAGGCTCATCCTCTCCTGGGACCTCAGGACCACTTTTTGTCCCAAACTCCCAATGTGAGCTTTCAGGTCTGAATACATGAGTTGTCAGAACAGAGTGAGAGGAGAAGAGGAAGTCAAGGGCGAAGTTGGGTGGAACAGTGTCATTTCCATCACTGAGGACATGCCCCCCCCCCCAGAGGTGGAGACCCCATGGGCAGAAATTCTCCAGGTAATAATGGGTTCGTCACCACAGCTGGAGACCCTGTGGGCAGTGGGGACTCTCTTCTCCATGAGACAGAGATTCTACAAGTGGTGGTGCCCACCTTGCCATGAATGGAGCCGCCTCACCAAAGAAGATCCACTGATGTCGCCCATGGCCCAGGGCAGCAGAGACCAGGGGGCCAGACCTGTGAAGGCTGAGTCACATCATTGTAGGGCATCCTCACCAAAGCCGTGAGAGGACAAAGCCTGAGAGATCCGACCAGGGTAGCAGCTACTTCAGAGCCCCAGTCACCAAAGGAGACACCCACACAATCCCAAAATTCAAGACGGCAAAAGGACTAAAGCAGCCTGTTCACCAGCTGAGAACATGTCCCCCCAGTCTAGTCAGACGATGGCTGAGTAAACACCACGTTCTCCATCATCTGGTTTAGTTCATCGAACAAGTACAAGCTGAAATGTAATCCCAGTAATGAGAAACTAAATACCGAAGCCTTTAATTTTTTGCAGATAATCAACTTGAGAATTTTAATTTAAATTAAATTAAAGATACTTTTAATTTATAATAAAATTTTACAACCTGATTTTTCGGAAAGTAAAAAGCTGCAAGTGCCTATTAATAGTTTTAAATGATTTTAATTAATGAGTCAGGAAAGAATGAGTATGCAACATTATGTATTACAAAAAACCACCTGTTCTTGAAACAAAATCCCGACCCATGTGGGCAGCAGGCTTTGAAAGTTAATAAACCCATCTAAAGATTTAAATGTAGACACAGACACTTGGTTTGGCTGTAAACTGATTCTTTGCTTCTGGTTAAATATGTAAGACACATATGATAAGAAACTGTCTTGGGGGGGCGGAGCAAGATGGCGGAGGAGTAGGAGACCTGGATTTCGTCTCCTCTCAGGAATTCAGCTGGATAGGGATCAAACCATTCTGAACACCTACAAACTCAACAGGAGATTGAAGAAAAGAAGAGCAACAACTCTCTCATCAGAAAAGAGACCACTTTCTGGAAGGTAGGACGTGCGGAGAAGTGAATCCGAGGCGATATTCGGGAGGATAGATGGCGGGGGAGGGGCCTCCGTCGGCTGCTTCTGGCAAGTGATAGAACCACGGAGCACAAAATCGGAACTTTTAAAAGTCTGCTCCGCCAAGGGACGTCACTCTGGTGGCTAAGCGGGGGGTGGAACCCTCCGGGACAGTGTGGTCTCAGGACCCTCCGGGTCACAGAAAGACCGGAGGTGCCTGAGTGTGGCAGAGCTCCCAGGTAACGGAGCAGGGAAGCCGGCTGCAGAGGCGGAGCCCAGGCGCGGGCTCTCAGCTCGGGGTTGCCATAAACCGTGATCCGCGGCACAGTCGGGCCCCTGGTCCTCCAGCAGGGACCCAACAAGCAGCAGATCTGGGGAGACTCCCCTTCCTCCCCCGGGAGGAGCCGCGCAGGAGTGCACCGCAGGGATCTGCTGGGTTTGGAGACTCCACCCGGGGTCGGGTGCCAGAGATAGAGGCGCGCGGTTGCAGGCCGGTGAGCACGGAGTGTGGCCGGAGACCGGGGAGACGGGAGTGACTGACTGCTTTTCTCTGGGGGCTCACTGAGGAGCGGAGCCCCGAGTTCTCGGCTCCTCCAGGGCATAGATTGGGAGGTCGCCATTTTCACTCTCCGCCTCCAAAGCTGTATGGAAAGCTCGCAGGGAACTAAAGCCCCGGAGAGCAAACCCGAGCAGATTACTTAGCCACGAGGGGGCAAAGGTGGGGCAATTCCGCCTCCGGCAGAGACATTTGGAAACCACAGCAACAGGCCCCTCCCCAGAAGATCAGCGAGAACAGCCAGCCAAGACCAAGTTTACCGATCAATGAGAACGGCAGAACTCCAGCGCTAGGGGACTACTGCACATAGAATTCACGGCTTTTTTACCATGATTCTTTAGTCTTTTAAAGTTAATTTTTTTTAACTGTCTTTTTTTTTATTTCTTTTTGAATTTTTCTTTTTCCCTTTTTCAACCAACATCTTATCAATCCCTTTTTAAAAAAAAAAAACATTTTTATTTTTCATTTTTAGAGTCATATTCTATCCCTTCGTAGTAGTTACCCATATTTTTGGCTTATATATATAAGTTGTTCTCTCTTTAAAATTTTGAGATAGTTTCTTCTAACAGATTAAAATATACCCTAAATCTCTAGTATATGGTGTTTTCTATTCCCCTGCCTGATCACATCCTCTCCCTTTTTTTTTTCTTTTTCTTTTTTCTTTTTTTAAATCCTCTTCTTTCTTTTTTCAAACAACTTCTTATCAATTCCTTTTATAACATTTTTTATAATTTCCATTTTTACAGTCATATTCCATCCCTTCATCATATCAACCCTTATTTTTGTACATATATAACTTTTTCTTTCTTTAAAATGTTGGGAGGCACTTTCTTCTAAAAGACCAAAATACACCCCAAATCTAGGGTGTGGCACTGATCTATATACCATATAGATCATATTTGATCACATTCTGGTTTTTCTTTTGTTGTTGTTGTTTTGTTTTCTTTGTTTTTGTTTTTATCTTTATCTTTTTCTTTTTTTTCTTTTTCTTTTTTCTCTCTTTCCCTTTCTTATCCCACTGCTTCAGGTCTTTTCTGATTTCTTTAGAGTATATTTTCTGGGGACGTGGTTACTCTGCTAGCATTTTGTTCTCTCATTAATCTATTCTCCTCTACTCAAAATGACAAGATGGAAAAAATCACCTCAACAAAAAGAACAAGAGGTAGTACCGACTGCCAGGGACCTACTCAATACGGACATTAGTACGATGTCAGATCTAGAATTCAGAATCATCACTTTAAAGATACTAGCTGGGCTTGAAAAAAAATATGGAAGGTATTAGAGAAACCCTTTCTGGAGAAGTAAAAGAGCTAAAATCCAACCAAGTAGAAATCAAAAAGGCTATTAATGAGGTGCAATCAAAAATGGGGGCGCTAAGTGCTAGAATAAATGAGGCAGAAGAGAGAATCAGTAATATAGAAGATGAAATGATGGAAAATAAAGAAGCTGAGAAAAAGAGAGATCAACAACTACTGGATCACGAGGGCAGAATTCGAGAGATAAGCGATACCATAAGACGAAACAACATTAGAATAATTGGGATCCCAGAAGAAGAAGAAAGAGAGAGAGGGGCAGAAGGTATAATGGAGCAAATTATAGCGGAGAACTTCCCTAATTGGGGGAAAGAAACAGGCATGAAAATCCAGGAAGCACAGAGAACCCCTCTCAAAATCAATAAAAATAGGTCAACTCCCCGACATCTAATAGTAAAACTTACGAGTCTCATAGACAAAGAGAAAATCCTGAAAGCAGCTCGGGAGAAGAGATATGTAACCTACAAGGGTAGAAACATTAGATTGGCAACAGACCTATCCACAGAGACCTGGCAGGCCAGAAAGGACTGGCAGGATATATTCAGAGCACTAAATGAGAAAAATATGCAGCCAAGAATACTCTATCCAGCTAGGCTGTCATTGAAAATTGAAGGAGAGAGAAAAAGCTTCCAGGACAAACAAAAACTAAAGGAATTTGCAAACACGAAACCAGCCCTACAAGAAATCTTGAAAGGGGTCCTCTAAGCAAAGAGAGAGCCTAAAAGCAACATAGACCAGAAAGGAACAAAGACAATATACAGTAACAGTCACCTTACAGGCA